TAATCATCAGGATGACTATCACGCCAAAATATTGTATAATAAAATAAAGACACTGAGTTTGGCATTACATGCATACGCTTTCTTATCTCAAGCACTTTTGACGAACTTATAGTCATCGTCATCAGGTGAATACAGAGATTTATTGAAAAATTAAACGGAAATAATCCGATGTAGAATAGAACGCATAAAATATAAGTTGAAACTTTGTCAAAGTTGTTAAGAACACGAAACAAATATTCAAATATAATTCGAAATCTGAACAAACAGTTAGCTCTGTGAAGTGCGAGCTGGTGCATGCACAGAACCAAGCTCACGCTATAAGCATACTGGAGAATGCTAATATTTGCTTAAACGCTTGTATAGCGTGACCTATGCACTGGACAGATCGAGCATAGGGGTGTTGCATGTAAGTGTCCAAGGTAGTAGTAAGGAGAGATTCCCATATGAAAATGATTTTTCAATTCTTGCAGCTCTTGAGTAATGGGACCATAACAGGTTGTAACCCTGCTCAAGTACCTTTTTTGCGAGCTCGGTGGTGTGCCTACCCCTCATAACATCGTCTTGGTGCTCATCAAAGCAGCTGGCAAGCATTCTAGTATTGGCCCCGATATATCTTGTGTTTACTCCTGTTGCAAGATTTTCCAAAGGTACAGCATAGACCCCCAACTTCTCAAGAGTGGAAAATTTGTCTCTATCGTTACAAATGAGTTTGCGTAGGTTTGGAAGTAGGGCTAGTGGTAGTACAAGATTGTGCTGCTTAAAAATTCTGCAGATGCGTATAGAGAGGGGTCCAAGGTATGGCAATGATGTTTGTACCTTCAAAAACTCCCTGTTGCTGCATAATGTAGTGCTTGGAAATAGTGCTTTCTTTACCCTATTGAGCATATGCGTAAATTTTGCACATGAAAAGCCAGTAGTGCATACCGCCAAACTGATGATGTTTAACTCAACGTTTACCAGCTCCTGCGTAGAAGACAGTAAGTAAGCCCTTCTGACGAGGGAGGCAATGGCAGCATTAATGTATCGAGAAGCCTGAAAGGCCTCTGCTTGTATAATGTGCGGAGCTATGCTAGATTTGTAATGAACCAAGAATTGTGGTCCTTCCGAAGATTTACGTATTTGCAATTTAAGAATGTTATTGCCGCATCGCTTTCTTTCTCCCAAGTGAAATTGATGGAAGGATATATGTTTGAGAGTTGTTACATAAAGATGAGGAACATCTCATCTGTGTCTTGCTTGCATGCTTTAGCACTGTCTTATTTTAATATCACTGCATGATAAATATAAATTGATACTTTGCATGCTAATGTCTCTTTGCACTTTCAATTTGTATTTTGTATTTGGTGCTTCAGTCATGTTTAAAAGTATAGATATTGATTTATTAATTATTTGTCATTTTTATTTTAAAGATGTGCTACAGGTGAAGCATGGCAGGCCATTATGTTATCTTGTCTAAAAGGAAGATTATGTGATGAGAGGTCTAAAAAGCCTGGCTATGAATGTGGTAGTAATCTTGCTTATTCTTATTTTGTTAGTTTCATCTTCTTCTGTTCATTTCTGGTAAGTAAATGTTTGTGTTTTAATTTCAATCTTTAACTAATTTTAAGCATTAAAGTTAATATTCAATATTTAACAAATTAAAGAAGTTGTGTATACTATTTAAGAGAAATTTAATATAAATACNGCATACACCAAAAGTTGTAACAATTTTGTGATTTCTTGTAATAATTAAGTAAAGAAAATTATATAAATAAATAAAAGTTGATTATACTAAAGAAGGGTTCCATTTAGCATTTATGCACTTTTGAACTGTCACATTGTTAAACTTGCTCTCTAAAGGCAAATTTTGCTTGGGGGCTGCGCATTCCCCATACCATACCAGTTACGTTTGAAAAATTTACGATACCAGTTAAGGGTTAAAAAAATTTTTGTTAGGCTTAACATTGACAAAAATTTAACACAAAGCAACACGCAACAGAGAAAAATTTCAACATGGGATTGGTTAATATATTTTTTCATACATGATCAGTTATCTGAAACTACCCCAGTCCCGAATTGTTTTGGATAATCGATGCTCTACTGTACATTTTTACAAAAGTACTATTCTTTATATTCTTTGCTCTTCCTTAATCTCTGGTCCAATTTCAATTAATTTTGAATGGACTAATGCATTTATTTTTGACAACATGAATTTTCTTATGTGCATTGTTGCATTGCTTTGTCATGACTAAAGCATGATTAAGAAAATTTAATACTTTCAAATTTTCAGCAATTAAAATTTTTGTTTATTATCAGGACTATTGCCTTGAATATATGAAATATTCAAAACCAAATACACTTTACACTAAATATCTGTTATGGTATCTGGAGTGAGCAGCTTCTTCTCTCTTATTTATTGATAGCATCCAGACTAATGACTGCTATCTTAATATCCTACGTATGATGGTGGACAATTGACTATATAACTTGCCGTTGGAGCAACTACGAGGCGTGTCCGGAAAGTAAGTACCGTTTTGGAAAAACTCACATAAAAAATTTTTTTTCAAAACAAAATTTACTTTTACATGAAAGAGCATGTTGGAAACTATTTTTCTACATAGTTACCACCATTGTTCAGACATTTGTCATATTGGGAAATCAACTTGTCTATACCCTCTTCAAAGAAAGATGCCACCAGTGAAGACAGCCACTGCTGAACATTGATTTGTGACAATCTCATGCAAAACAGTTTTTGAAATTTGTGGAAACTCATCACAAAGCAATCTTATTGTGAACTGTCTGTTTTCAGGAATTTTTTCATTCACTTTTGCAGCCAAACCATCATTGACAACAGAAGGCCAGCCACTCCGTGCTTCGTCATGAACATCAGTGCATTCAGCATTGAATTGTTGAACCCACTTTCTAACCATTCCATCACTCATTACATTTTCACCATAAATCTCTACAAGTTGACGATGAATTTCAACTGGCTTAACATTCTTTGCATTCAGAAACTGTATTACAGGACACACTTCACAATTGGCGGGATCAGCAATCATCTTAAACATTTTGAACACTCACTAACACATGGAAAAACAACACAATCTGGCTCTAATGGTGTCACTGGAGTGAGAATCAACCAGAGACATTGTGCGCAGGTGCTGAACTGAATACTACTGCTGCGGTGGTGGTAAAACGAAACAGTACTTGCTTTCCGGACACGCCTCGTATATATAGCAAATTTGATATCAGAGGGAGAGCATGCATTTCTGGGCAGACATGGCTTGCAGAACACTTCAACAATTGATAGATAATACAATACTACTGTTTCCCATTTATTGTTGACAAGTAAAGTTAAAACAAGTAAAATCCCCTGCTGGGGTTTTTCTTGTGGAGTCATCTAAAAGCATCAGTTTGAGATACATACCCAGCAGTACTGTATGATATTGGTGGCTGAAGAGGTGAATGGGGACACCAGGTATGCCATGCTCAACTGTGTACATCTTTGTATTGTTTCTCAAAACTATCATTTTGAGCATGCACTATAGGAAAATAAAGCTGTTTCTGTATTAATTTATGCAATGTTGGGTTTTATCCTTTACAACCAGAGAACTTTGTATGTTATGCTAATTTTTTTTAAAATTACTCCCTTCTGTTATCTTTGTGCTTGGGAGAGATGAGAAAATTTATATTATTTTAGAACCACTATGCAGTTTACACATGTCTTCTTTTATGAATGAATTAATTTATTTTACTATAGACATTGCAGTGGAACTAATGTGCCATATGCATAAGCTCATACTATGCTGGAAAGATCTCTCTTACTCCTGGACAAATGTTAATGTGAATACCCTATATAGCAAAAATCATAAAGAATTCAATTAATTGCAACTTTTTCTAATATACGTCTTACAACTGATAGGCTTTTGAATTCGGTTATGTTTACAAATTTTATTTGAAATTAAATATAAGATTTATTGGTTTATCAAGTGAAAACTTATTACAATTTTTTTAACAAGGATATATAAAGAAATTGTGAGTATTTTTAGTAAAATTTATTGAGATATTTCCATATGTTAGATACACTTTCTACATATTTCCATTGAGATAGATCTTTGTTTTTTATTTCAAATATGTAAACATGTTTAGGAATTTCTCTCTTTAATTATTAATAATTAGATATAACTATCTGATATAAGAAAAACATGGTCAGAAAAACATATTTATGGTCTAAAAGATTTCAAACAAATAAGTTTTCTGGAATTTTAACTTTGGATCTTCACTTATAATTTAGATGATTATTTATTTATTTTATTTATTTCATTTACATTAGGAAATGTCACTGGGTAGCAGATCTCCTCCCTCAATAAATAACAAGACCCATAACAAAAAAAGATAAAATACATAAAAAGAAAATCAATCGACATAATAAAACATAAATAAAAATTGCAAAAAAATATATATACCTGTATATAAATAAGACAGAATACACAAAAAATGTCTAAAATATTAAATATGTATAATACTAAAAGTAAGACAAAAATTTAAAAGCAATATAACTGAGCCGGAGTATAGTATATTGCTATAAAATTTGTTTGCATAAAGTGTAAAAGAATTAAAATGTAATAAGATATGTAAATAAAGTTATGTTTACAAATCATTAAGAATTATATAGTAGATGTGATGTCGACAAGATGTTTTCTAATGTAAAAAAATCAACATGAAGCATGTCTTTTACATTACCCATGTTTCTGGCTATGTGGTAGAAAAAAGGATCTGTGTGAAATAGATAAACGATAAAAAGGAGTAAAAATACAAGTGGTGTCATATATATTCTTTATGGGTATTCTAAAATGAAGCCAGGAAACTGGAATAAAACCATTAAAATATTTATAATAGAGTATATGATCATAGTATTTGATTCTTTCATGTAAATTGGGAAGAGCTATCCTGAACCTTGCAATGTTTGGATTGTTAGTAAATAGTAGATTACTTAGTTTATTGAACAAAAAATATATTTTATTGAGTTCTCTTAAAATTTTATTTCTGTGGGTGCCACAGACCAAATTGGCAGGCAATAATCAACAATGGATTGTAAGTTTGCAAAAATAATAGATCGTAAAACAGATTTAGATGAGATAGATTTACAAAAACTTCATAAAATACTTCTACAAATTGCCAGAGCTTTAATAATTTTGTTGACATGGAAATGAAAAGTTAATCTATTGTAATGCTAAGATCATTGTAGGAGCAGACATTTTCTAGAATATTGGCATCAATGACCAAAAGGAGGAAGAGGAGAGTTTCAAATCAATGAGAAGCACACGACTATAGTCTTATTGATGGTAGTTTTAAGGTTTACCCTTGCAAATAAAGTTGATAGCAGATTTAAATCAGATTGAAGAGCTGCTGGGTTAATCGTGGTTAATCAGTTTTATATCATGGGTGTAAGCAATAACAGTGGACTTGATTCGGTTAAGTAATTGATTAATGTAAACGGAAAAAAATAGGCTACTAAGGATTGATCCCTGTTGAATGCTGCAGATGGATGGAAAGTCAAGAAATTCACAATCATTTAGTCTAACTTTAAACAAACAGACTAAGAAATAATTATTCAACCAAGAATGGAAAACTGGATCAATGTCAAAGTGTTCACTGAGTGAGGAAAGAAGGATATTTGGTATAATGTAATCAAAAGCCTTGAGAAATATCTACGTATATGACATAAGCTACATGTTTCTTTTCAAAATTTTTAAGAATTATGGACATGGTATCTATTAAATTTATTGTAATTGAATGATGTCTAATACCACAGTGTTGAATTGATGCAAGCTTGGAAGTGATTTACAATATATACATATTTCAAAAATGTTTAATATGGCAGATGATAATGCAATAGGTCTGAAAGAAATTTTGTTATTTTTATGTACAGCTTTAATCATTGAAGAATATGATTGATTAGAGACATGTCTGGATTGCAAAAATTTGGAAAACAGTTTGGATAAAACAACAGCTGCTATGAGTTTTAATTTTTTATAGAAGGTTGCAGGGATGTTATCAGGACTAAAATTAGAAGGGTTTAAGGTAGGGGTGGCCAACAGTTTTTGACCCCGGGCCAAATTGGAAAGAAAACTTTTTTCATGGGCCGAACCCGAGGCTGCCCTAGGAAGATTTTGAGGTGGTGTGAGATCTCATTGTGGTGTCACCTTGTAGAGACTAAATTTTACATAAAGATTACAGATACATTTTTCACATTATCATGCTTTATCAACATTCTACGCTGTACTTAAGAGATTTGTAATGGAGGGTTAACTCTAACCGGACAGTGAGTTGATTTTTTTTAGGCATTAGAATGTTCACCAATCTATTCTGACTTGAGTAGCTAATATTGAAAGATTAATTGCAGGCCACATAAATCCATTACACGGGCCACACCCGGCTTGCGGTTTATATGTTGGCCATGCCTGGTTTAAGGTGTTGATTGCTTCTTTAATTTCAGAAAGAAAAAAATAATGACGGTAGATAAAGGTATGTAAGAAAAGTGGAATAAAGTTGGACTCAGGTAAAATCTGAAAAAAATC